CGTAGTCACAAAATTGCCCCAACTCCGAGCTACAGACGCAGTGTATCACGAAAGGAATATCTAAAGCGTCTTAACTCCCTCGAAGCCGATTTACCGAGAAATCGGCGCCAAGTGGTAAAACACGCCGAATTTCCGCATACGGCAATAGCCTCTAATTGCAAAGCGATGAACCCGAGCATTGGGTTTGGAATTCAGGACAGGACTGCGCTTTTAGCGCCCCGATACCAATCTCTGCTGTCTCCTGGGCCGATTGAATAGCGCAGAGTCAGCGAGCTAATCCAGTCCGAAAAAATGTCAAGACGATCGACAAGTTGTCGCTGTTTGACGCGACGGCGATTTGTAGGCCGTGTTAATTTTTTTTTTTTTTTTTTTTTTTTTTTTTTTGAGACTGTTCTCCGGGGAATGTTTAGCCGATCTTGATAGAGCTCTGTTCTATTTCGCAAGGATGCGTTTTTTGTCTCTCTTATCTCTCGTGCACGCTTAACATTATTTGCGGGTATGCTTTGCCAGGTGACGGGAAATTAACGTTTTGGTAGATGGAGTGAACCGTTACATAAAACTTGACCGTGAAAATTGTGGTAACGTTGGAACGTGAATAGGTATGTCGCTGAAGAAAAACTGAAAAACAAATTCGTTTGAATAAAATGGATTAAATGAAATGGATAATTTTTTTAGCGTTATATTTAGTTGAATTAACTAAACGTTTATTTTATTCAAATAAATCTTTTTTCGTCTGTATTTAAATGAACGTTTATTTGGGCTAGTATGGGTTAACAAAATTTAGTTAAAAAAAATTTTACTTACTAAGTTTTGATAATTTTTACCAGAAAAAAGCAAAAAATTGCAGGAATGATGACTGTAAAATCTATGGTAAAGGTGTAGACGATGAACTACGATTTTTACTATAATGTTTATTAATGCATTTTATCGCAGTTTCACGGTAATGTTTTAACTTCAATAAAATTTGTTGGTGTTAGCTGCACTTTTACCATTAAGTTGAAGTTATTATTTCTTGATTTATAAAAAAAAAGTTGATCAACTGAGATAAATTAAACTAAAACTGAAAAAAAAGATTACTGTAAAGTTACGGTAAAAATTTTAGTAAAAATTATTTCTTCTTTAAACTCCCTTTTTTGTAGTCAAATTTCCAGTAGTTTTATTCTTCATGTAGTGCAGGGATAATTTTTCTATCGAGTATAAAATAAACGTCAAAATCTTTGTACAATTTTCACTGTAGCTTTAGGGTAATTTTTTACGATAAAATTCTTGTAGCTCTCATTACTGCGTAATTCAAAGTTCAATGTACAATAACGATTGTAATCAAAATGACTGTTTTTAATCCGCAGCTGGCTCGTAACGACTTGCGTCATCTACCGCATCTCCGGCATAAATTTAAATGTCAAGATTTTCGAGTCAGCTGCACCTGATTACACTATTCATTCGAATACGTAAGTATAGTGTATGATCAGTCAACGGCACACAGTATATTCAACGGTACAAGGATTTGACAGGTACAGTCACAGCCTCAGTTTGGAAAATCGAAGGATTGCGCTCTAATTTCTACAAAATTTTCCAAAAAAGTCTAATTCCACTTTTCAACACTGCATAACATCATTTGCAAGTTCTTACGAGTGACTGTAATTAAAATGTTTTCTATTCTGAGAGACACTTAAGTAGTGGCACGCCTACCTTCGTCTGACTACGTCTTACCTCGACAGCAGCTGTCGAAAGCATAAACAGCCTTTTTCGTGGCAAGACTTATCTTTGGATCGTAATGAACTTACCACGTTTGAGGATTACAGGTACGTCTGAGGAGATGATTGACCGGAAGTGAGAGCTAATACCGGCTCACAGACGTTTTCCCTATGCATTTAGAACAAAGTTTTCATCAATCCTCATTTTCGATGGCACGATGAAAAAACAAGCTTTTTAACTGTATCAATTGGACTTACAGACACATTTTATTCCTTCGCTATATTTTTCATTTTTATATTTGTTTATTATTATTATTATTTTTATTTATTTTTTTTTTTAAGTAAAAAAAAGTTGATTAAACAATCGGAAATTTAGTATTTTACGCACGACAAAATGTGTATATAAATAAGTTGCTACCTAAGTCTCAAATATGTGTGCATGTATAAAGTTATTTATGGGTGCACATTTTATCCAATCGTTTACTAAGCATAAAAGTGAAAGGAAATCGTCTTTAAAAGTGGATAAAAATTGTAGTTGTTCCATAAGTTTATATTTATTGATTAATTATGTAGAGAGCACTGCGAGATAAGATTGAGAAGCAGACAATGCATCATCGCGCTACTATTTACTTCAGATTAGCATACTCGAATTTTCAAATAGCAAAAAATAATTATTTTTGGCAGTCTACATCTTGGTTTACTTGAGCTTCTTAAATCTTATTCTGCAGCTTTGTCAAAAAAAAAACAGGTAAGATAATCATGAGAATGACGAAAACTCGAGATGTGTTTTAACCTTCCTGATTATAATAATTTAGGGTACTGAAAATCTGTTGTACCTCCATGACAAATATTTTTTGTTTGAATTAATTTGGTAAGGTAATGAACAGTACATTACATACAAGAGTGATGCTAATCTTGGTCTTGTCTTGGTCTTGTGAAGCCCTAAATGTACTGTTGGTATGAGGGTACATCGATATAGATATATAGTATAAGCTGATTCGTCAGATGGCGCGACCGTGCCTTAGAGAAAATGGCGTCGTTCACGTGTAACAGTGTACTTGTACATATATAAGTCACCTATACAATAGGTACACAAGTTAGAGTTGTATATAAAAGTATACTGTTAGTCTGTTACACGTGAACGACGCCATTTTCACTAAGGCACGGTCGTGCTATCTGACTTGCCATAGTTATCCGCTTTTTATATCCCGATTATTTCGTTTACGTTTTTGGTTGATGGTGGCGCGGATACTGGTCGAGACATACAGTGGAAAGGAGTGTGGCTGAAGTGTCCGAAAGTCACTGATTGGCTCCGCCATTTTCGGGACTAACTGGGGAAAGAAGAAGCCGAGCGAAGATGTGTGTATGATTGATTGCGTGCATGTGAACCTGTGTTCCCCTCTCCATCACTTCTCTCACCTATGCGGTTCCAAAAATGGAGTCTTCAGCCACGTTCTATTATATACACCCTATCGAAACATAGCTGATAGAGTTAAAATTACTAAAAAATAAAAACCATTTTCTCTTATATTGTACTAACCATAGAAGTTTAATAATAGAGTGCGTGACTGCTATACTGGCCTGGAAGTGGCAGCTTCAGAAGGTGCGAGAGAGAGCGCATTGTATGCCACCATTCCTGATTGGCTGTTCCGGTCCCCCCGACCCACACCCCGCTGATATCGCCAAATTCGTTTACTGCTATATATATTACAGTGTGTATACGTATGTGTGTGTATAGCAATGCAGAGACTGCAGAGTGCAGACTGCAGCAGAAGACAGATTTGGCAGGTGTTGACAAAAATATGTTTGTGAATTCAGAATAAAATTAGGAAAGAAGATAACGAACACATGTAATTTAATAGTTTTGTTTCACTTCAATTTGATTAACAGACTAGAATTTTCTTACATAAATAATATAAACATGACTTATTACATTTGAGATTTTACAATAGGGAGTAACGTACTATTATTGTCCTTGAAATATTGTTAATTTGTTACGAAGCATGCGCACTCTTTTATTATTATCTTTAAGAATGGTACTCTCATGTTTTAATCGAATATCTATATATTTATGTATTATTGAAAACATTAATTTACTACGATGATCTGAATGATTAGAAAAATGTTTATCACTAAAAATATCCTTCGAAAGATTTTTTAGTACGTCTTTTACTAAATAATTATTAATATCTTTATCAAATAAGTTGGTCTTCTTTCTGATTGCTTCTTCCGTTTTCATGCAAATAATAAAAACGTCTTCTGCAGCAAAATGCAAGCCACCACGATTTTTTAGAACAGACAACTGAGACTTGTTTGTGCCATTGAACCCATCTATCAAATTGCAACATTTCTGGCAGCTTTCTTGTTTTTGTAATACATAAATTATACTACCTGCCGTATGTTTAATTATTTCATCAGTGTACACAGAAGGATACCACTTTAATGATTTACAGTAATCATGATCGAAATAAGGCTGATTTTCTTTGAGGATAACAGAAACATCTTTTACATTCAATTTTACCTTAGTTGTGTTTTTGGCTACACTCTTGTTCTTTACATCATTGTTAGACGATTCCACGTTACCAAGTTCAATGCTCTTTGTAGATAAAAGCAAAGTGCGATCTAGAGGTGAACAGTTTGCTGAATAAGACACGTTCACATCGAGCTCATCAGACAATAACTTTCTAATTGCTGATAAGTACTGAGTCACTGTGGGGTTGTTATTAAACCCGTTCATTTGTCTTATACAAGAAAAAACATTTCTACGTGATTCTGCGACAGTTTGTAGCTTAAAAAATATTCGATACAATTGCTCTCGAGTAATTGTTTTGCAAGTGAATACAAGTTTTTCAAGTTAATGATGAAACCAACAAATCCTGTACTAACTAACTTAAAATGAACAACTGATTTGGTAATGGTTTTATGTAATGTTTGGTGCACTATTTTTGTTTTTCTTTTCTTTTACAAGTACATCAATGTATAAATTTTCAATATAATCAATACACGAATCAATTGTTTCCTTTAGTTTTGATAATGAGCTTTTTCGTCATCCCCGACAGTAAAGTTTGTTGTTTACGTCCGCTAGTAGGACATAAAGCGACAAATGTATGGCCGCTGGATCTCTTTACGTCCGCTGAGCGAGGCGCTTCTACGAGGTCCGTGCTCTCAAATGCACAGCTAATGTCTATCTATATATATGGGACCTATAACGAATATCTGTATCTATATGTATACGGTGGCCAAGTGTTGTTTTTTTTTGACGGTCAGATGCATGCGCGCGTAAGTATATTTCAGTGCCTTCTCTTGTCTGCCTTCGTCGTTGTGTCGAGACTGTCGAGTCAGTTCACTCAGTTCACGCCTATTAAGTATAGCGTTGCCTGATTTTTTACCTTCGCTTACTTGTTGTTTACCTTTTAATCTGTCCCGTCTCTTGTGCACTAGAAATTACCACTACGTGTTTTCATACACTTTATTTCAAGTTCAGAGTTACTAATAAGTACTGGTGAGTAAATTTTCTTGGCTATCTGAAAATATTGTATAACCTTAAAAAGAATAAGGAGCTACAATAACGGTTCGTTTATAGCATTGCATCATCAACACAACTACTTTTATATAGTTATTAAAAATGTCGTCAGACGATTCGAGTGATTCTGAGTTTGACGAAGAGACAGTTGTAAGAAACTTAGAAGAAGAGGCAAAGACAATTGTGAATGGGCTGCTACCTCAAAAGTCTCGCGCTCTGTATGAAAAAGCACATGCTCAATACATGGACTGGAAAACCAAGAATGAAGCATCGTTTGATAAAAGTTCTTTTTTAGTTTACTTTGAAGAGCTATCAAAAAAATTCAAGCCACCTAGTCTGTGGAGCCATTGGGCAAGACTGAAAGCAACGTTGAATATAAAGAATAACATCAAGATTGAAAAATACTTGTTGTTAAAAACTATACTAAAAAATAAATCCAAGGGTTATAAACCGAAAAAGTCTCTTATTTTAACATGGCCACAGATAACAGAGTTTCTCAACTCTGCTGAAGATAGTATTTACTTGTTAATGAAGGTATTTAATATGACTATTATTATTTTTTTATTTGCACTATTTATTAGCTACTTATAAATGTTATTATATTAATAAATGATGCAAACAATTTATACGTCGTTACTATTGGTGATACAAAAACCTACTATCCTCGTAATTTTGTCATCGGTTCGCCTTATTACGCCATAATAAAAAAATATGTGGCTTTTAGACCCGAAAATACAACCACTGACAGATTTTTGCTTCACTATATTAGTGGAAAATATATCCGTCAAGTGGTAGGGAAACACAAAATAGCTGATATTCCGAAAACTATTGCTCTCTATCTAAACTTAGAAAATCCAAACGGATACACTGGCCACTGTTTTAGACACAGTGGAGCCATTGCTCTTTCAAATTCAGGAGCAAACCTACCCATGATAAAAGAGCTTGGAGGTTGGCGATCAGACGCTGTAGCTCAAGGCTACCTTCAATTTTCTATAAATAATAGAAAAAAAATTTTTGAAAAAATGTGTGGTACTAGTTGTTCAACATTCATACCTAATTTAACAGAGAATAATGAAGTAAATCAGATATCGACAAAACAATATGAAAACAATCAAGAACCAGCTGAAATATCTGAGCCATTTGATAGTATTTTAGAGGAAGAAAGCAGCATTAATAGTAAACCAGAAGGAAAAAAAAGAGAAATAACGAAAACCAATAATGAAGAATTTAAAGATTTACCTTCTGTAATTTTTCAAAATTGCCAAAATTGTGTTATTCTTAACATAAGTATCAATCACAATTATTAAAATATAAAGAGCAATGAATATATTATATTGTATTTGAAGAAACATTTGAAATGTAATATATTTTCTATTTTTTAAAACTAAATNAATAAATTTTTTATTTAAAAAAAAATTAAATATGTATTCTCTTAGCCGTCTCTATTAAATAATATCGACGTATTAAAATTTAACAAACTTTTAATAACCCATTATTGGAAACGTTCGATTATTCATCGTTCGTACGTTCGCACTCCATTAGGTTAGGACCAATGCTTAAGGAACGTACGGTTCGCGAGCGATTCATTTTTCCCTACATTATCCTATATCAACCTATTGAACAAACTTTCCTATACGGGATGACGAAAAATTGTATACGTCACTCGGTCGTAAGTGTCTGACGGACGGCCGCGTGATGTTGAAATATACTATTATCTATCCCACATCTATTTGGCGCTTTCGACTTTTGCATCCTGACGTTCAAGACATCAAACATGGTATCGAAATTTTGGCAAAAAGTAGCAGTAGCTGCAGCATTTGTAAAATTAGGATCTTTTAAGTTGTATTCAAGTAACTGTAAAGCTGTTGCAGTACTAGTACTTAATACTTGTGCAGCCAAAAAGACTTTCATCTTTTCATTAATGAAATCAACATGCCTACTGCGAATTTTTCAAGCCAAGTGTAACTTTTCTTTTTCTTGCTTAGCATGTAATAAACGAATGTATTTCCAATCTATAGCTTTTCTATCGTGAGTTATTGGACCTTTCAACGCAAAATAATTACGGACAAGCTTTAAACAGTGACACGCGTCGTAAAATATATAAACTGGCTGAGAAGAACATGGATGTGGAAAAAAGGGTTTGAAGTTTGCTTTGTCTGTATAGTTTGAATTCGCGCCTAGCAATTCGCAAGCAGTTTTATGACTGCCATCGCCGTCAAATGTAATACTGCACACATTGATACCATTATTATCTAATGTACGTAATAAGTCTATCAGTAATACTGATTTTTTTGATCCAGTTAAAGAATCAATCAAATAATGAGCAACAGGTACTTTAAAATTTCCATTTATGTTAACTAGCATGAAAACTAAAGCTTTTCCAGCCTGTGCTTTTTTATCCTTTTGATTGCCTTCTCTTAACTGACCACCCATGTCAACCAGACCTTTCTACTGATGAGTGTTTTTGTCCCATTCTGTCAATTTTTTCATGTGCATCTCATCAAACGTTACATTGAAAACAAGATTTTTACCCTTCATTCTCTCATTCTTCACAAGGTCTGCAACATTTTCAACAACTTCCTGGGATATACCAGGTTCAAAGTTACGTGATCCCATCCAATGACGTAGTGTTTGTGGATATGGTAAACAATTAAAAAATGAACACCGAACAACTTCACATGCTGCTGGTGAATGAAAGTGAAGAGTTTTTGCGAAGCTTTTTAAGTGTGTTGGATAAGGAGCATTGGCTTTGTTATTTCTCACGCGATCGATGAGTTCTTTGACATGTGGAGGTAATTCCTGTTGAATGGGAAAAATACATAATTATTAAATGAAAAACAAAAAGAAGGAAAAGAAAATTTCAGGCTGGCCCGAATTTTGGAATAATTGAAAAGTAAACTATTTATATTTTTTTCATATGTATTCAAAGAAATCACGTGTATATATTAATTAATTGAAGAATAGACAGTTAAAAAAAATTATGCAACTAATTACACTAAAATGGAATTAAAAGTATAGTATGCAACACAATTAGTATTTTTCCGAAACCTTAGCATATTTCATGAATTGGCGACATTTGAAACTTAGGTAGACACCTGCAAATACTGAGCAGTGCTATTCTCCGCATTTTCTTTTAAATGAGTGATGACACCATTCAAATTCCAGAACTTCTTCTTTTGACGACTGCTTCTGCTATGTCCTGCTGCTATTTTCTTTTTCATTGAAATATAACATGTAATAAACTTATTCCACGCTTCATCGGATACAAAGTCGCTCCTTGATATGTAATCTGTTTTATGCCCATCAACAAATTTAATTTTTTTTCGGGGATTGCTGTCAACAAAATTGATTTTCCTGTCATAGAAAAAAGGAATCGAAAAAATTCAACTTTTTTTTCGAAACAAATAAAAAATACCTTTTCAATGTAATAATTTTACTGCTCCTTGTTATTGCATCAATTGGTGAAGTGGACGATGCATCGGTATCGTTTTTTGTAGTAACATCAGAATCAGAATCATTGGTGACTGATTTATGTTCCACTAGTGGTTAAGATTTTAAACTCCTAAAAAACATATATTAAAAAGATTTTTTTTTCTCTTTTCTCACAACTTTATTACCAGAGAAACTAAGTCGTGGAGCTTAATCTCTACATATTTTATTGCTNTTTTCTTTGGGAATAAATAAAAAATATATAAAATACCTTTTCAATGTAGTAACCCTACTGCAACTTGTTCTTGCTTCAATGGGTGAAATGGAGGATGCATCGGTATCGTTTTTCGTAGTAACATCACAATCAAAATCATTGATGACTGAACTACGTTCGGTGGACTTATCAGATTCCAAAGATGACTGCAAATTAAGATGCACATTGCTGGAATTTTTAAGCAGACAATTTTCTTTTATGTCACTTTGAGGTTCATCAATTTTGACAGCAGCTTTTACGTCAAATGGAATAGCATCTGGGGAAAGCTTCTTGCGTTGCCTTTCGTCATTGAAAATTAAATAATTCGAAGCATCAAAGTGTTCGCTGCACACAAAGGCTGTGTTGTAGTTCAAGGTTGTCGTGATATTTAGGGCTTCATACCATTGTTTTCGTTTACTGTCGTCTTCGGGAAATCTAAAGGAAAATTACAACCAGTAACACAGTTACACTATTTTGAAATGTCTGTTGAAGGTTATATTTGACTTACTTATGGAAACTACGTCCACACTTCCCACTTTGTTTTATTTTACACACAATACACTTTTTTGGCATCACTTTAATACAATAATACTTTAATAAGCATGTGTATATGAAAACCTTACATTAAAACTACCATGTTCGGTTTGTCTACTATTTAATACAACAGTAACTGCCAAATGCGTCTTCTGCTGCAGTCTGCACTGCTATACACACACATACGTATACACACTGTAATATATATAGTAGTAAACAAATTTGGTGATATCAGCGGGGTGTGGGTCGGGGGGACCAGAACAACCAATCAGAAGTGGTGGCATACAATGCGCTCTCTCTCGCACCTTCTGACGTCTCCTCTGCCTTGCTCGCGCACTCTATTATTATACCTCTATGGTACTAACATAAAATTTCGTAAAACAGCTTGTTTTTTTAAATAAGCAAGGTTTGGAAGTGACTAATTTCAAAACATAAAGTCATTAACTATGATAGTTTTTTATAATTAAATTTGGAATTTACTCATTATCTTGTCTACTAGTAAGACAAATTATTTAAAAATAATTACTACTGAATTTTATTTAAAAAATGTTAACTTCTCTTTAATTCTCAAAAAAATCCCTTACAAAGCTATACATCCATTTTCTCATGAAGTAGTCAAGATGGAGTACTTTGAACAAAATTACGTGACGTAAGCAACACCAGCTAAGTTACAAAATTATAGCTAATTCAGATTAACGTGTAACAAACAGCTAATGAGAACGTTTATTTCGTGAATTTCGTAGAAGCCACTTAGTACAATCCTGAGAGCAAGAATATCATGCTTTTATTACACTCATACATGAACTGAAAACGCTTCCATTGCAAGAAGTAAAAAAAAAACTAACTCATAAAAAAAAAAAAAAAAATTTTTTCCTTCATTGACTTCATTGCCTGTAAAATAAAATGCATACTTTAAGATGATTTTCTCAAAAATTTATTTTTCTGCACTATTATCTCCACAAGCATTAAAAAATTATTTGCACATGAAATATCAATTTTGGTTATCCATTCGTGGTAATTAATGTTCAAATTTAGTTATAATTCGATCAAGGTTCCACAGTTTTCCTATTATATACTAAGTAGACATTAAAAGTAGACGAAGTTAGACGAATAATACCTAAGCAAAGAAACTTAAGTTCTCTGAATCCTTAAAGGGTTAATAATAAGTAGTAGTCACTTTTTAAACAATATTTACAGTTTTGTAGTGGTATATTCAAGTGCAGCCAAGAAAGTACCAGCAATGAATCACATTCGATCATTAATTTATACAAAGAGTTTAATTTATTTCTTTGGTACTAACAATGGTAAAATCATGATATATGTAGACATTTCCTGCTATTTAAAAAATCATTATTATATTCTTGTTGTGTTGAGGACCTAATTATATTAGATTTAGCCACTGCAATTTGGTTTCAACTTTTGTTTTGTCAATTAACTGTGTCAGTGAACGCATTGGAAAGCTTTGTATCTCTATGTGATGAACATGGTCACTTTTGCAGCGGTGCAATAGTTAGCAATGACCATATTGTAACTGCTGCTAGTTGACTATACTCCTGGTAAAAATAATTTTTCAGTTCTTAAGGTGAGAAAAATACTATAGTTTATTGCCCTTACCTCAATAAAACATTTACATTTTCAGTTAAAAGATAGCTTGAGACTACAAGGGAATCAAACGTTAAGGAAATTGGATTTTGCTTTAAATATGCAAGTTTACTATGACGTTGTTAGATAAGTATGCCATCCCAGGAATGTTTTATCAAACGTAGGTAATTAAAAAAAAATTTTCAACCCGAGAACCCTTGTTATAATGTTGTTATTCATTTTGAAGTGTAGATTTGTTTAAAAACTTTTATTGTGGTGATTGTCCAGACTATACACATATTTAGACAATGGTGGTATTAGATTAACGCTTTAGATCATAGAATACTTATTTTAATTTTAAAGTATGGATTTAATTGATCAGAATGCAAAATAAATTATTTTTAATACCTTAAAATTTGTTCTAATCTGCACCACCAAAAAAAAGATTATGATTGTAGTTAAAGGCTAAGTTATTTTTAATTAAGAGAAGATTATTAATGGAAGGCTTTATTCATACAATTTTACAGTAGAAATTTCAATGATAATTATTATTGAAAACACGAACATTTATGATGTTGAATGACATGGCCTCGAAAAAAATACTCCCGACTTTAATATCGAAGAGTGTTATAATAGGCCAAATACAGTTTCCTTATTTTTTAAAACATAATTAATATTTTTTTAATACAATAAACAAATTTATTAATTTAACTAGACATGCAGTAGGTAGTTTTTATTTAGTTTAGTCTTAGTATTTTCACAGAATTCTAAATACATGTTCTTGATGATTGTCTCTAGATGGATGTAAATAGAATTTTTAACTTGACTATTTTGTCTACTAATCTACTAACCCAAATTCTTATTTGCAGTGTGACTATTTTATTTTTCTTTAGAAGCTGAAATCAAGGTGTTTAAAGAAGCCAAAGTGCACTAATTTTAAAAACTTTATATTATCCAAATAAAACACACTTGACCCGCCTAACTTGTTGCAAAATTTAACAGAGCATATTACTTCTTCGATTGATTTTTTTGGTTTTTGGTCACAATTCAAATGCAAGCGTATTTTTAAGGGACCAAAATAGCACTTTGTGTCCTCGGTAATTAAAACAATATTTGGGATCGACATAAAGGACATCATATCATCGGCATATGTTTCAATCTAACGTATTTATCATCAAACAACCTTGATAGTAGTAAACATAAATTTTTTTCGTATGTTATACTAAGTACATAAAATTAATATAAAAATTATAAAACAGGTTATTTCACTTATATTAATTTATTCAAACGTCAAGAAATTTGATCCTACTCGTAAAGCTATTGACTATTAGATCCGTTACTATTTCTGAGAAAGACCTTTAAATAATTAATTCAAACGTACATG